TATATTAAAAAGTGTTATTTTATTTTATGTACAAAATTTTGCAATAGATATTAAAATAATTCAACTTGCAATGAAAGAGAACAGAAGACTTGGCAAGCAAAATGTTGTTTGCTTACATTTTGTACAAACATACATATGTACATATAGCAGCAGTTAATTTTATTTAAAGAAATGGCGTGTCGTCCATTTCCGCTGTAGCATGGCATATATTTAGGCGCAATATTTAACTTTTTCTGGCGGGGCGACATCTGGAGTCTATTAATTGTATCTCCTGATATGATGCCTACAACGAGGTTCATATCTAGACTAGGAATAGCTTTGCTACACTACCGCCGCGGCGTGCCGGCACTTTTAACAATTTTATAGTGGTTTTAAGTTCTTTGGCAAATTACGCTCTGTTAGCCATAAATCTTACTATTTTTTACCGCCTTTGAATCAAGACCCCTGGACCATATGGAGGATTCATTTACATTTTAAATTGCAGTGTCATCGTGATTGCAAATATGCTGAAAATTTCAAGTCTCTAACTTGTCGGGAAGTCAGTTTAAAATCGATTGGAAATTTCTGCGATTTGCGCGGGATTACCAAGTTAAATAAAAGCTTATAAAAAAATGCACTCCTTTTTTATGTCTTGTGCTGCTTTTTTTCTATCGAAAATATAAATGTACTCCTTTCTCCGTTTCAAAATCTGGCAACCCTAAATTTAGGGGCTATTTCAGTTATATTTTCTCCACTTAGCATAATCAACTTATCATCAGCAAATAGCTTAATATCGCAATACTTTATGCAATTAATAATGCCGTTACAGGGAACGGATTTTTAGGATTTTTAAAACCTAAAAACCTATAAAAAAGGCAAAATAAAATTGCGAAATAGGCAGGAAAAGGCACTAGAAGCAGCAAAAAAAGCAAAAGACGGCATTAAAAAGACAAAAACTTAAAAATAACACTAACTTATAGGAAAAATGTTCAACGGACGGCACTACATATCCAAGTCCTATATAGAATTGCTTGCTGATTAAGAAAATCGAGTTAATCTTTTATTCTATGGTTAAGTTTTCGAGATATTTTCAGGTGTATGAGTAACATTATTTCCTGCTAATTTTTCATACAAAAAATCTTTGGGCATTTTCATATGACCACTTATTATTTCTTTATTTATCCATCGATTTTCTCCATTATCAACGTGATTTTTTTTTAACAGAACAGGCTTTAACACAGCCTTGAATATACATAAGTACTAAACGTGCGTTTGACGTGAGTTGATACAAGTGGTGCCCAATTTGAAACTTTTATACATATTATCAGGAATAAGGGCTTTTTCCTCGCTATAATCACTTTTTTAAAGGTACAATAGGCAAAAAAAGGCAAATATCTTACAAAAGGCAACATCAAATTTGTATATGTATATGAAATCAGGGAACGCTAAATCGTGGACATTCTTAATCGAATATGCTCTATCTCTTTAGCAGAAAAAAGGCAATTTCCATAAAATCCGTTCCCTGGTAATTAATATATATGTATATTGAACAATCGATGCCTTGGGGGAGATCGACCTATCTCGGCAGCCAGTTCGAAAACGCCCTATCTCAGAAAATTTTTCAATAACGCCCTACTTCAAAATTTGATTGAAGAACGCCCTATTTCAGAATTTTATTGAAAAACACCCTATCTCAGCTGCCCTATCTCAAACGAAAATACATTGAAAATGTGCTGAGATAGGGCATTTTTGAAACGAATTCTGAGATAGGGCGTTTTTCAATCAAATTCTAAAATAGGGCGTCCTTTAATCAAATTCTGAAATAGGGCGTTGTTGAAAAATTTTCTGACGTTTTCGAACTGGCTTTCAAGATAGGTCGATTTTCCACTCAGCCATCGATATGTACCCAATAAACACTGGCCTTGGTTAACAATTCGAAAATGATTGGAAAAGCAATCTGTTTTTCAGTCGCACCTACGATAACGAATGTGAAATAGGTTAATATTCGATTCGAAAACTAGGTCATTCTCCAGCAAAACGGAACCTTCGGTATCCAATATATTTTCCCTTCGTTATGAATTCGAAATCCAGCCCATTATCGAATTGAAATTTTAATAATAGAGAGTGATTTTCTTATATTTCCCTTCGAGAATGAGCTGGATTTCACTTTCCCTTTTAATATACTGTGAACGTTTGAAAACTAAGGTTGGTTATGAATTCGTTCTCAGTTCGATATATCTATTGGATATCGAAGGTCATTTTCGAACGTTCGCCAAAATGTTTATTGAATATGTATGAAAAAGAAAAATCAAAAAAGTGTTTCTTACTCATACATATGTATGTATGTATGTACATATCGCTCATATTTTCATCTAATATATAAATACGAATATCTGTTTGTTTATTACCTTATAACTTTTGAACCACCACACGGAATCACACGAAACTTTGCGCACTTATTTGTTTGTACCCCGGGAAGGTTATAGGTATGGTTTTATTTGCAAATGTGTCGTCAGCTCTTTGGAAATGTGGATGTAACTGGTTGCTATGATATTTTTAAGTCTAAACTTTGTGATATTTGTGTGGGTCACATCCCACTTCTTAATTCGAAAACCGCTAAGCGTCCATGGTTTACTAAAGAACTCAAACGTATAAGGAATAATAAGAATAAGTTCTACAAAAGACAAAAGCATTCCAACGATGTTAATTTGCGTGAGCGTTACGTGTGTTATAGAGCTGAATTTAACAGGCTCAATAAATCTTTGTATAGGAATTATATTCGCG